TTCTCCCCAAGCTTAGTACAGTCCATTTATCCTGCAGTTGTCTTGACTTCCCTGCCATTTAAAAGTTCTGTAACTGCACGATTTTTTTCCTCTTTTTGGTGTGCAATTGTCCTCATTTGTCAATTGCCGTCTCTGGTTCCCTGTTTACAATCTTGTAGGCTTATTTACTTTGGATATTCCCATATCTGGATTGGTTTCTGGGTTATGCTGTCATGTGTGTTAATGGTCGGTTGTTATTTGCTGTTGTTCTTTCTCTGTCCAAAGAATTCCCTTTAGCATCTTTTGTAAGGTTGGTCTGGTTTTAATTTCTGCTTATCTGGAGATGTCCTAATTTCACCATCATATTTAAGGGACACTTTTGCTGAGTATATAATTCTTGGATGGATTTTTTTTTTTTTAATCTTTCAGGGTTTTATATGTACCATTCCATAGTCTTTTTGCCTGCATAGTTTCTGCTGAGAAATCCAAGCTTAGTCTTATTGCTTTCACCTTGTAGGTGACTTTTCGTTTTTCCTGTGCTGCTTTCAGTATTCTTTGTCTTTGATTTTGGTGAGTTTAATGATGATATGTCTTGGTGATTTTCTTTTGCGATCTATTCTGTTTGGTGTTTGTTGGACTTCCTGAATGGACATATTTTCATCTTTCATCATACCAGGGAAAATTTTCTTCCAACAAATCTTTTACAGTTTTCTCTGTGGTTTTGTCTCTTCCTGTTCTGGAATTCCAATTACATATAGATTATTTCTTTTGATGGTATCCCACATAAACTTTAGGGTTTCTTCATTTTGTTTTGATCCTTTTTCAGATTGATCTCTTTCCAAAGAAGTATTGAGGTATTTGTCTTCAGTCTCACTAATTCTGTCTTCCCTTGGTTCAGTTCTACTCCTTTGCCCATTCAATGTGTTATCTATTTCTGAAAATTTGGTATGACTCTTCTGGGTTTCTATGTGTAGATTTTGTATCATTTCTAGTTTTTCTGTTATTTTGTCATTTTGTTCTTGTGTCATCTTTTGAAATTGTTCTAGGATTTTCTCTCTGTTATCCTCAAGTTTGTCAGTGTTTCCCTTAATCTGTATCTCAGTCCATTGAAGGTACCTAAATATAATTATTTTGAATTCCTTATCAGGGAGTTCCGATGTTGCCTCTTCCTCAGGGATGTATTTTGGGTCTGTATCCTGATTCCTTGTTTCTCCTGCTTTATCTTGCTTCTTTGTGTAGATTGTGATGCTCTGTTGTGTCCAAGGCATTGCAATGTTTTTGTGTTTATATTTAATTGGTGGTTGTATGTTGGAGTGACTTGCCCATGATTTTTGTGTTCATTGGTTTGTTTGGATGTTATCTAAGTAAGCAGGGTACTGTCCTCTTGTATTTGCTACTTGATAGGACTTACACACTGCAAAAACGACAAGGAGGCCACATGTTCTGACCTCCTCTAACCCTACAAGGGGAAGGCAGGATTACCAGCAGTAACCCAAGGCCTATTACTGCAAGGCCAGACATGCTGCCTC